TGTAATAAGGTCAGAGAGACGCAAAAAGGGCGCTGTGTATGGTGGGCTGTTCAACAGGAATGTGCATGTCTTGGAGTTTATTGTAGACAAAGTCACATACTGAAAAAAAAATACATGTTTTATTTAGGCAATAATGTTCTGCGCACAATCCATGGGGTTGGAGAAATGATGACTCACATGGTAATGAGTCGGGGTGTACCACACAACCTTCCTGACGCGCCGCCATCGCTGCGTTATGGTAAAGGGCACTTCCTGCCGGATAATGAGGATGTCATGGTGATGGACACCAAGCTGAAGATCATCGAGATCCTGCAAGTAAGAACTGCAGTTTAGATGATAAAAAAAAAAGTTTTTAAATGTTTATTCATTGTTGTGCAATTTTTGATTTTTGATTTTTCTCTGTTCAGTTCATCCTGAGTGTGAAGTTAGACTACAGGATCACATTCTTGTTATCTATCTATAAAAAAGAATTTGGGGACAAGGTCATAACTGACGGCTCCATCTCAGCCGATAATCTTTTCATGACACGTAAGACCTGAACTATTTTGCTTTTTAAATTTGGCATTCGGTCTCCTGTGCACTGATCTAAACGTACATCTTCACTATTTATTGTCTTCAGCTTGTAAACCAGACATAGATGAGATTGCAGCCAAAGCTGAGAGCATGTTTGCTGGAAAGTAGGTGAAAGTGTACATTGGTTTGACTTACTGAGGGAAACGAAAAGAGACCAATGTTCATTTGTTTGTTTTTTGTGATTTCAGCTCAGAGTCGGGCACCGTAGAGCTGGATGACGAAGGTGGCAGGACCTTTTTAAGGGTTTTGATCCACCTGATCATGCAAGACTACGCCCCACTGGTGTCGGGTTCTCTGCAGCTCATCTTTAAGCACTTCAGTCAGAGAGCTGAGGTGCTGCAGGCCTTCAAACAGGTCAGAACAAAGAGGACACAGAAAACACTTAGTAAACAAAGAAACATGATTCATCATTTTAATCGATTGACAGCCCTAGTACATGCGTATATTTTAAAAAATTGTGAAATGTGCTGTGCTGACCGGGAATCTCTCGCCTGGATACTTTATTTATAGTCGAGAGATTTTTTTTTATGCTAATTTTGGTTTAGGACAGAAGTGCCAGAAAACGGTGAACCTCTGTAGACTTTGTGAAAGTTTTTGACACCGACTTTCTTTTTCACATGCTTGGTCTCCTTACATCACTATTTTTGTTTCTGTGTATCTTCCAGGTCCAGCTGCTGGTGTCAGAGCAAGATGTGGAGAACTATAAGCAGATAAAGACAGACCTGGACCAGCTGCGTCTGACTGTTGAGAAATCAGAGCTGTGGGTGGAGAAGAATGGAGTCTATAATGGTGAAGACCTGGGGGTCAGACAGACCAAAGAACAGAACATTGAGGTGCTGTATCGTCATTGTTTTACTGAAGCATTTTGGGGGGCTGCTTAGTGGAAAAACTGCATAGTCATCAGTCTTTCATGTCACAGTGGTTTAGTTTGGATATGTACTGTTAATCATTGGTTTTGATTCTTTTTTACCACTCTGTTAATATATTTTGTAAAGAAGTAAGTACATTTTAAGAAACTCAGTTGTTTTGACTGACTGTGACTGTCTGGTGAACTATTCCTTTGGTGTGAAACATCCATTCTCTGTTTCTTGTTTGCAGTCTCTGTGCTGGTTGCTGCTTCTTACTTACTTATGTACAGCTTCTTTGTACTGGTAAAACACTTTAGAATGACTTATGCTACAACTATGCTGTGTTAAAACTAGTAAACATTTTTTCTTCTCTTAAAAGCAATTCTTGTCATCCTCAGAAAAGTTGAACCATGTTCAGCTGCGTTAGCCCTTTTTAGCTCATTATGCAAATTGTAGTCCGTCCTGTGAGTTTTTCCTTTCAAATGAGACCTAGTTTTTATGTGAACATAGCATTTCGAAATCTCTATTATATTTCGGTAGCCACACAATTTTACTTATTAAATATATATAATAAACATTTGTTTCGATTTTTTTTGTACGGACATAAGACATATTGTTTGTGTCAAAGGCAATAATGAAAGTGAAAGTGAATTATTTGTCATTGTGACACTGCACACAACGAAATGTGACCTGTGTTTGTAACCCATCACCAAAGTGGGCAGTGGGCAGTGAGCGCCCGGGGAGCAGTGTGTGGGGACGGTGCCGTGCTTAGAGCACCTCAGTGGTAACTTGGCTTGTTTTTTTTTGGTTTTGTTTTGTATTTTTCTCAGGAGGTTGTTCTGAGCCCAGTCCAAGATGGTGATATTAAACCTCAGATTGATTGTAACAAGGCAAACAACTATAAAATAGTCAAAGAGGTGAGGTACATTTCTGCATTGTGTGGATATTCATGTTTGATTTCAATCACTGTTTTGCACTTAAATCACAGTCCTCTTCCTGTGAATTGTCATTTGTAGATTTTACTGCGGCTCAGTAAGCTGTGTTACCCCAGTAAGAAAAGCCGTGTCCAGCAGCAGAGACTACTGAAAAACATGGGGGCCCACACTGTGGTGCTGGACCTGCTGCAGATCCCATATGAGAAGGTGAGTATTTGATAATGGTGACTGCAAGTCTTTTTACTTTAATTTTTACTTGTTTGATATTGTGTTTTCACAGACTGACGAAAAGATGAACGAAATCATGACCCTGGCGCACACGTTCCTGCAAAACTTTTGCAGAGGAAATCCTCAGAACCAAGTTCTGCTGCACAAACACCTTAACCTTTTCCTCACTCCAGGGGTATGTGGCTGTGACTCTCACTATGAATCAGCAAAAGATATGTGTGACTCCTGCAGAGTTAAGATTCATTTTATTTTCAAACCACTACTATCAAAAACACAATGTTAGAACCTAGGTAAAGATGTAATCAAGTCAAAAGAACCTTGTTGTTAAAAAGGCAGCAGTGGTTGAATCCAGGGCTGGATAAAGATATCAAGCCAACCGTACAGAAGCAGTGGTCTGAATTTGTAATGAGTCTCAGTGCTGGGAGGCATAAACACAGACACTATGGATTCAATTCCGAAAAAAATCATTACCACAGATATTTGAAAATATTTTTAAATGTTTTTGCTAGTTAATAGGCTGGTGTTCGAGGACCCTTTTTGTGATCAGAGGATTGCTGGTTTGAATCCCAACCCCAGCATTGCTGTGGTCTGTTAAACAAGCACCAAGAGCTCCACACTGCTGTGTCATTTTGCAGTCGTCTCTTTTTTTGTTAATTTTCCATTTTACACAAAACCTTACAGTGATGAAGTACTAGACAGAATATAAAAAATGTATTCCGATTTGAAGTGAGCTTATATTCCCCAGTGTCTTCGGCAAAGTAGTATAAAGAGTATCAAAGGAGGAGTCGCCTCTCTTACAGTTTTCACCTCATAACATGGAAGTTAAGAGTCTTTAAATTCACCAAATTGCTATTTAAAATTTTTGCAGCATGATTTTTTTTTTATTTTACTAAAAGGTCCCTTAAAATGTAATGGAGAAAGTTACAGATTCCTGTTCCAAACTGTTTTTTTTTTATCTCTTTGTGTCTGTGAGAAACAAATCAATATTCTGTGGATAAAAGTGTCTCTGAATCACTGCTGACTTCTGTTTTTGTTCCTTCATCAGTTGCTGGAAGCTGAGACCATGCGTCATATTTTTATGAACAACTTCCAGCTGTGTAATGAAATCAGCGACCGCGTGGTTCATCACTTCGTCCACTGCATCGAAACACACGGGAGACACGTTCAGTACCTGAAGTTCTTACAGACCATTGTGAAAGCTGATGGGAAGTATGTGAAGAAATGTCAGGACAAAGTCATGACAGAGGTGGGAATTCATAAAAAACGATATAAATTTTATAATAATGGATTTTGAATTTTGTTCATTTGTCCAAATTAAGAGCAAAATGATTTAAGTTTTTCAGTAAAGAGGTAAAAGGTCTTTCAAAATAAATTTTATTTTTTTGAAAAAGCAGACGAGCTACCTTAGGTTGGTGTTTTTGATATATTTAATATGCTTTGGTAAACCAAATTGTGGACAGGAAGTAGTTGGTGAGCGTACGTTAGTGACATACAGTAGGTACTAATGTATAGTATGTGAATTCTGAATTATGGTGGAAATGGGATTACACCGCACCGTGGGTTAGACCCCCTGTACTGTGTTTGAGGCAGGTGATTACTTTTAGTAAATATCCACATATTTTTGTAGTTTTTCTTACAAGCATTTGAGGCTGTGGAGAACTAGAACTAGACTAGAGTTTTCATACTCTTTTGGGCTACTTTGGGGATATTTTATTACTGGATTTAGTAAAAATTAAAACGTGGTATCTGCCCTAAGGGCTGCCTTTTCTTGCCCTGACTTAATAGTTACTGAAGTCTGGCTAGGGTTGTGTGCCTGAGAACCTGGTTCTGGTTCTGTAGAATTGCTTTAAATACTTATATGTAAAATGGTGCAAAAATGTAAATAAACTAAACCTGAATACATTTTTGTACATATACTTACATAACACAACACATTTTAATATTTCCATGGTTCATTAGTGACTCAGGAAAGACAGGATTTTGCCCTTGCATTTACCCCTCTGTCTGTGGGTGTTTCCTGGTGTCTTCAGCTCGTCAATGGAGGCGAGGATGTGCTGGTGTTCTACAACGATCGCTCTTCGTTCCCGATCTTGCTGCAGATGATGGGCTCCGAGCGGGAGCGGGCAGATGAGGACGGAGCGTTAGCCTATCACAACACGCTGGTGGAGCTGCTGGCTGCCTGCACTGAAGGAAAGAACGTCTATACTGAGCTGAAGTGCAACTCTCTGCTGCCTCTGGATGACATAGTTAAAGTTGTGACTGATGTCAACTGCATACCAGAGGTAGGGAAAAGAAACAGCGGTGTGTTTGTCATCATTCTTATTATCATGAAAGTTTGTCCCAACTGTGTAGTACATGATTAGCCTTTTATGCTAATGTGTCCTTTACCATGTCTGCAATCACATTTGCCCTGTGGACTAATAAGGGAAGTTTATGTTGATGACAACAATAGCTGGAAGAGTGTTACAGTTTGTTTTTTTTACTGATATTCTGATTGTATAATGATAACATTTTGTATGAAAATGTCACTGATTTCAGGTGAAAACAGCTTACGTAAACTTTGTGAATCACTGCTATGTGGACACAGAGGTTGAAATGAAGGAGATTTACACATCCAGCCATATTTGGAAGCTGTTTGACAACTTCCTGGTGGACATGTCCAGTGTAAGTCTCTGTCCATAATGTCAGTTATTATTGAGGAGCTTTGACTGAAAACCATGTTTTTAGTTAGTGTCTGTTTCAAAATACAAGTTAAGTACTGTATATATGTTAATAAATCTCACTCTAATATTTGACTTAAAGGTTTGCAACACAACAACAGACCGTAACCATGCGGACCAGGCCTTGGAGAAGTATGTGACAGAGACAGTCCTGGCCATTGTTAAGGGTTTCTTCAGTTCACCTTTTTCTGTCAACCACTCAAACCTTCAGGTAATTTTCTTTATACTTTACAAAATTAATTCAGTCACTTCCCTATAAGAATATCATTTTTCTGTATCTTTTTTTCTGAGCTTTTAAGTAATTTAAATAAAAATATCCCAAACAATCCAGACAACTCTGTCTCTTCCTCTACAGACAAATCAGTCTATCTTCATTAAGCTGCTGCAGTCAACATTCAGGATCTACAACTGCACCTGGATCAACTCGGCTCATGGCGCAAAGGCTAACATTGAAAGCTGTATCAAAACACTCGCTGATGTTGGTGAGTGGGGCTTCGCTGCCGTGCAGCCTTGACAGAGCACAGCAGAGCAGGAGGAATTATTAGATTTTAATTTTTTTTTTTTATAATCTAATTTACAATCTTTCAGCTTGTAAAATTCGAGACATCATTTTATTTGTTAAAGATCTTGCTGTAACATCAAATATTCCTGTTTTCTTGTACAGCTAAAGCGCGTGCTATAGCTATTCCAGTGGACCTGGACAGTCAAGTCAACACCCTGTCTCTGAAGGTCCACAGCAACATGGTGCAGCGAGCAGCCAAGGACTGGAGGATCTCAGCCCGCACACGGCCAAGAAAGGAGCCACTGGGCGCCCCTGATTACAAGAACATCATTGAGAAGCTGCAGGTACAAGAACTTTGGTCCAGTATAGAGACAAAGATAGAAGGAAGGACTAACGGTGTGAAACATACAGCGACATGCATTATACTTTACATCATTTATGACTATCTAATGTTGTACTGTTGCAAAAATTACAGTCAGGCTGCTTTTCTCTCACGTGTTTTAGTAATGGAAGCATCCATTTCGTGGTGTTCATATATTGATACTCTCATATCGATCTTAATAAATGAAAAAAGCTCATGTGTCACGTCCACATTTTTAGGCTAACTTACAGCATACAGGCTTTTGTGCTGCAACGCCCTCTGAATAATGTAAAATTGAACTGATCCATTCATGGCATGTGACCTCTGACCCATGTGACTCCATGTGATCAAGTCGACCAGACGTCTTTGTCTCTTGCAATTATACAATTTAGGTTTAATTTTTAAAGTGGTGTAAGTGGTTATATATAATATTTTATGGAAAAAATACATATTAACGTTGTCAAATGTGCAGTATATGTCATGTGTTTTATCGTTTTGAAAAATCGATAAAAAAATTGGTAATAGTATTAAAAAAAAAAATTCCAAAAAAAGAATCAGTATCATATCAAATCAAAAACTCTGGCGTCGGCCATCACTGATGTGTTTGTGTGCTTACATTTCTGGTTACAGGGGGTTGTGTCCTGTCTGGAGGAGCAGTTCAGCCCAAAAGTCCAGGGAGAATTCTCTGTGCTGGTGGACGTTCTCTACAGTCCTGAGCTGCTGTTTCCAGAAGCAGCTCGATTACGCTGTGAGAGTGGGGCGTTTATGTCAAAGTAAGTGTCTGAGCCACGGTAAAATGATAACGAAATAGTGTCTGAGCCACGGTAAAATGATAACAGTGGTTCAAATACTGATGAGGAAAATTATTTCATTTTTAATGAACCAAAGTAATTGTTACCAACAGTTACTTGTATTTCACCAGATCAAAATTATTAATCATTCAATATTGTTTTACAATATTCAGTCTGAGAAAAACAGTTCATAATATAAGAAGCTGCTGATAATGAAATCGAGCAGATTTCACCTTCATAATATACTGTATGACTTACAACTTCATTAACAGCAAACATGTGCTACACTAAAACATCACGTGATGTCAATCTGCCAGGTTGATCAAACACACCAAGAAGCTTATGGAGAAAGAGGAAAAGCTTTGTATCAAGGTCCTGCAGACACTCAGGGAGATGCTGGACAAAAAGGAATCCTTTCAGGAGCCTGTGAGTATCCCTGCATTTAGAGGAGGGCATAAAAGCATGTACTCCTCCAACTTTGAAGTAAAATGTCTGTTTTTTTTTTTTATTCCAAAAAGAGTGCTGTAGGTGTAGCCTTGTCCTCACGTGCGAGGAGTGCTTTGCTCCCATCAGCAGTGCAGTGTAGTTCTTGTTTTCTCCCAGCTCTCTCGGCCCAAAGCCCAGACTCCCCTTCATCAGTATGCTGTGGGCTTTTCTGCGTTACATAAGGCAGAAAGGCACTTAAGGACACACACTCACTGTGAGAGAGAACAGGAGTGAGGAAGTAAGGCGAGGAAAGGAGGTGTGGGCGTGCATGCGTGCACGTTTGTGTGTGTGTGTGTGTGTGTGTGTGTGTGTAGGGGGCTAAGCACTGAACAAACAAATCAATGCTGCAGTGATCTGAAGGAAAGGGGGCAGGAGCTCGTCAGGAAGTTGGAAACTGAATGACAAGACGTGGTAGAGAAGACTGAAGGTTTTGGGGCTGTTTGTGTATGGCAGCGCGGGGGGGAGGGGACGGTGGTAGACGGTAATAAACTAAAAATACAAAAGTCAATGAAATTCACTGAACTCCAGACTTAGAGGAAAGACAGGAAATCTCAGTGGGAGGAGAGCAAGTCCTTGGCTCAGATTTGAACCTTCTATTGCTTCAGCCAACATTTTAAGAAAATGTATGAATGTCTGCCGGCCACGTGGGTTTGCTTATAATTGAATGCTCTGTTTTTGTGGAGTCTTCTGTTTAAATTCTGATTCTATCTACGTGCCTTCCTCTTCAATCTGAGTTTGAATTGTTAGAAAACTGCTGATGTTTAGTTCCACTTACATTTCAGTTTCTTACCTGCAGCAGAGACAGCTTTTCTTTAAGGCAAATTATTTATTAAGGGTTGTGTTGTAAAAAGCAGAGCAGCATATGAGTAGGAAAAGTAGTCAAACAAGTGTGCAGTCATGCATGGATTTGTTGTCTTTTTGTGTCATTTCATTAGAGCCCTGAGCGTGGTGCTGCAGCCTTACAGCACAGGAGAGTAGGAAAGAGAGGCAGACAGAGAGGAATAGGGAGAGAGAGAGATTGAGAGACAGACAGACAGAGAGAGAGAAAGACAATGACAGCATAGGTGGCAGAGGTTGGTGGCTTCCCTGGGGTGCAGTGGGTGGGTGGAGAAGAGTGAGAGACAGCGATGTAGGGAGGGAGGGTGCCATGTGAGGAGCCATGTGAGTGGAAGTGGAAAAAAAGTGGGCAGCAGCTGCAGGGTGAGGGATTGGAGAGAAGCATAGTCTGCTCAGTCCACGAGGAGACAGGGCAGGGGGTGCGCTTACGTAACAGCCTGCAGTGGCTGAGCCAGCCTCACGTGGCTCATCACGTTCTCCTCCCTTCCTTTTTACTCTCGCTCTCCTGTCCACTGCCTTATCCTCTGTTGCCTGCTTCACGCTTTGTCTGAGTCTTTCACATTCTGTCTGTCTTCCACCCTCTCTCTGTCTCTAGGTCTATCTCTTTATTAATCTCTCCTTTGATCTTTTGATTTGTTCTATCAATCTGTCTTCCTATCGATCTCTCTGTTCATCAGTCTCTATCTCTTTCGCTTGTTTCTGCATTGTAGATGCAGGTTCTTTCAGTTGTTGTTGTTGAATAATCTAACTGATACCAGTCAGTTGTATGTGGGTCTGTGATTTATGTTTGTACCTCCCACTAAGTGTTTGCCCCTCCCCCGCAGGATTTGTCCACTCTGTCCCTGAGACTTAGGGTCAGAGTGGCCGCTGCACTGCAGTTCTGTCTGGAGGTAGTAGTCGGTGTGGTACAGCAGGTCAGACCTGAAAATATAATGATGGCTCACGGACAAACACACAGATAAAGTGTAAACAGAAAGAGAGCTGGTAGAGCGCCATCTGCAGATGAGGGAGGAGATGTGTTGTCTCCCGCTGTAACCCCATGGGGAGGACACTATGTTCCCACATGGGATAGGTTTGTTGTTTGTTGTTGTTGTTTACATTTAGACAAATGAGCTGCTACAGAGAGTTTGTCATTGGATCTCAATTAGGTCTCAGCTGCATTGAAACAGCATAAGGTTTGGTGCAGAGTGGAGGTCTCCACCAGGGTCTTCTGTGGTGTATACTGCAGCGGTGAACCTGGCTTCTGCCCTGCTGACACACAGACACAGAATGTGTATCCACCGTACGTTCTCCAGGAAACAAACTATCTCGTTGGGATTAGTGAGAACTTTGATGAGTCAAACCAGCAGTGGAAGTCACTCAGTTCTTAACTAACAGAGCAATTAATCAATAAACCACAGAAGATTACACATCTCACAGACAATCATCAGTTAATCAAACACAAATCATGCAGCAGGACAGGTCATCCTGTTTTGAAAGATTGTCACAGCCATTTTTTCCTCTCTCTTACATTGAAGTATTATAGTAAAAACATTGTAAAGAGTAGATATGGGAGCGATTTAAGCCATGGTCGTAGAGCTCAGCAGGACAAATGAAGTTAGAGAGAAAATGAGGCACAGTGCAGCCCAAACTTTGCCCAAACTTTCTTTCTGGGGACCCATATTTTACAAGTCAAACCTTCACGACCCAAGTCAATACACGTTATTCGTAACCTCCTGGGAAACATTGGCTGGTTAAACAGATGGTTCTCACTTATGTATGTCAATAGGAAGATGTCAGTTCTGTTGTTACCTCCACATTAGGCTATTTCTGGAGGAGCATTTCTTTTAAACACTTGAGTTAACAAGTCAGCACGAGATGCTTAGACCCGTTAAATTAACAGACACATTTAAAAACAGCTTGACAGCATCTCAGTGGTTATGGATGTGGGAAACCTGAATCTAACCCCCCTCCTACATATATGCTGTATTTATTAATTGATGACATGCATTATAACCCTTTCTTTCTTGTATATTTTTTGTTCTTTATCATAAACATATACCCAGGTATACTGACAGAGGTAAAGAAACCTCTTTATTTTCATCAGTAAATCGTGCTCACCACTGTAAGACGCTGGGACATTTTTGGTTTCCTGATAGACAAGGCTCATTGAGGACTCGTCTTCACCTCATTTGTCGTGTATTTCCGTGACCATCATTACATTCCTCTCACACGTGAACTTCATTTGTTTTGCTAATACGGATTTGTCCACCAAATGCATTTCATGTCCTGCGTAATCGGGGCTTGAAAACTGCGTAATTTGCAGCACATGATACGTGCGTCTGGACATGTTTGTCTTACTGCATTTTATCAGACAAGTGGACCTTCAAGACTGCAGCACTCTGTGTACTTACCAGTAAAGATCCAGACATGTTTTCCTCCAGTGTAACTGAAGTGAAAAGTTCAGTTTGACTTCCCCAAAGTCAAAAACATTAACATCCCGCCTTTATATATAATAATACTTTAGTTCTCAAAAGTTCTCAGTGCTAGACAATTATTAGTTTTTATAAAAAAATATTCTTTTTAGATTTTTGTATGAATCCATGTGATTATTACTGAATATTATGCAATTAAGTGTGGCTGATCACATCATTGTTAGCAAAAATTACAACTATACTGACTGCTCTCCTGCCTCTCCATCTCATGAACATGATCCTGATCATAGGAGTTTATTTTCTCTGTTGTGATTTATTTTTCCAAAAAAAAAAAATGCTGCTAGAAGATGCACTTGAAATTAAAACATACCTCAATGTATATGTCAGAAACACTGCCAAATGTTATACTTTAGCTCCTCCATGACTATGTTGATATTAATCTGTCTATCAAACTCATTTATTCTGATAAATGAGTTTGGGATTGGCTTCTCCCGGCCTTGTTGAGAAGAAGAATCTGTAGGAGATCAAACGATAACCATGGCGTCCACTGCAGGGATGTAACTCTATGAACGTGTGTGTTGACTGAATAACTTCGCCTCGATGGCTTCCTTATGGCCTGTGTGAAAAATCAGCTTTTGCTTTGCTTTTTAGATGTGTCTCGAAAATGCGGACTCTTCTTTGCTGGAGTAGATTTGAGCCCATTAGAGTCTGATTGTGTTAAGGAAATTTGACACAAATGTCTAAAAAGGTGTTTGACAAAATGAGAAGCACATTGAGAAAACCAAATTATTACTTCCACACATGTGAACCCTGTTTGGGAAATGCTTCTCTCTCATCCTCTCTGTGGCTCCTGTCTGTGTTTTAATCAACCTTGTCTGACCTGAGCTGCTCAAACTCCTCCCCCTCGCCCTGCGGCCCGCTTGTAGCGTTGTTTGTCTTGTTTTACTGATGGGGATATCGTCCAATGTCTGCTTGAGTTTTCAGACCTCCTAAAGAACGTGGGGGGAGAGGGGGAGGCAGACAATGTCGTTGTCTCTTCATCTAGGTGTAGCTTTCTAGACTTGGCGAGAGATCTGCAGACGGCAGAGTTTGTGGCCAGGAGAATTGGGGGAGGCAGGGAGTTGGAGTGTTATAGGAGGAGGAGCGTGAGGGTGAGGATGGGCAGCTCGTCTCCAAGCTGTGGATGCCACAGCTGCAGTGTGGCGTGCGGGGGCACATTTTAAAACCTCACCTTCTCGTGAGGTTGTGTTACTTTCTTATACCTCTGTTTTTCTAGTCTCTTCTCCTCCCCTCCGTACCTCTCTTCTCTACTCTTCTCGTCCGGTGTTGTCCTCACCTGACTTCTCTTCTTTTCTCACCTTGCCTCCTCTCCTTTCCTCTACCATCCCCTCTCCTTGCCTCTGCTTTCCTTTTCTTGTCTCTCACTTCTCCGCCTGCATCAACTTTCTGGGAGGGAGGCAAGTGCTACAACCTGCCACTCCAGCCCCATTTGACCTCCCCCCTCATCCCCTCATCCCCTCACCACCAGTAGGTTCTTTGATTCCTGTTTTATGACGTTTTTTTGTGATAAAAATAGAAATAATAAAAATGCTAATGTTCAGGTATAATTGTAATAAGGTAAAAGAGATCCACTGTGTTAAACAGTGATATATTGAGTTTGTATTTGCTCTTTCTGTTGCATTTGTGTGTGAATGTGTGGGTGTGGAAATGAGACCGGCTCAGTGGATCCTTACCTTCAGTTGATACTGTGTGCGCCAGTGTCTGTCTGTGTGTATGAGTTAGTGTGGGTGTGCGCGTGCGCGTGTGTTCGTGCTTGGAGACAGCTCAGCCAGACAGTGCAAGCAGACAAGCGTCTCTGCTGACTGCAGATGAGATGAAGTGTTTACTGACACAGGAAGCATCAGCGGCACGTGCTCCGCCACATCTCTCCTCATTGCTGCACAGAGTTTCAGGCTCTTCAGTGTTGTTTTCTGCTTAGATGGTTAATATGTCTTGGCACAGAGGTGCCTAATTTGTCAAATGTTATATCTGAAAGTTCTGTTTTGATGTGCCCGAGTGCAGTATCTAGTTCATCTACAAATGTTTGTCTTTTGTTTAGGGACTTTTTCCTGTGTCATTCGTAATGTCCCAGACATGAACTGTAATCAGGAACTACTTAAAAAAAGAACTTTTAAAACGGAACCACAAATGAGAAACATGAAAACAGTATGCATCCACATCGGTGTGACTGGAACAATGCTCTCTGTATAATTGAAAGTAAAAAAAAAAAAAACTGCATAAGGCAAAATTAAAAGTACTACTACTAAATATAGATACTATTATACAATTTTGTATCGATACCACAGACCAAAACATCTAGTTGAAGTAATGTTGGTCTGATTGGTTGGTTTCTTTTTATTATGTGAACACGAAAGGAAAACATATAAAATAATTCCTGATTTGTTTTGAACATGAACCCACCCAGTCCCCTCCAGGGGGCTCTGTTAAAGCATAGATAAAATTCATGACTGCTTGACTGTTGCAGTGGTTGACTGTTGATCGTAATGAAACACCGCTGTAATTTCTTTAAAGCAGGGGCTGTCAAACTCTCAAATTCACAGTGGGCCAAATTAAAAACTGGGATAAAGTCGTTGGCCAAACTTAATATTTTTAAAAAAAAATTGATGGCAACTGTGCATGTTTTCCCTTCTCTTTAGATCTGTAATGCAGATTTTTTTTCATATGGAAACAAACTTTAGTTTTGCCTAAACATTGAATCTGGAACAACCAAAGCTTAATATTATAAGCACATGAGAAATTAAATTTGAAATAAAACACAAATCAGTGGTATTTCTTTGATATTATGTCTCTGTATCTACCCTTTTCAAGTTCCTTTTAAATGCAAGTCTTTTTTCACAAGCCAACAAAAGAACAACACAAAATGTCTGTGCTATAATATAATGCATACGTCGCTAATACTGCAAATCCTGCCAGTATACAGTGGCTGTATAACGACAGGCACCTGTGCTTTAAAGGATTCACCTAAAGTATATGTTGTTTGTGAAGCCTTTAATCCCCTTAAATTCAATTTAAAGCTGAACCTTTTTTTTGCATTATTTGGCATGGAAAAATAATCAGTGAGGAATGATTAGGTAAAGACGTTTAAAAGTTAATTAAAGTAAATTATCAATTGTCTCAGTCCATTCTGCAGATGATGATACATGAGGTGTGGACGTCGCTACACTATCTTTCTCCTTAGATGTTTGAATAAAAAGAACAAGGGCTACTATGTGTAAATGAAAGTCTGGGAGTAATTTATAGGGAGTATTATATTTAAGTGTAAGTAATCGCTTACACTTTCATTAGACCTCTTCATGCCTCAGATACTGAAGTTCGTTTTCTTAATTAGAACTCGACGTCAGTTATGTAAATAGGAGGAATAGATGTGAAAAAGAGGCCTAGTGCAGGGTAAAACATGTTTTTAAACACAAGGTTTGGTGGACTTATGACTGCATGTGGTCCATGTATCCTTATGTTTCTCTTTATCTAGTCAGTTTACCACGGCAGTCTCTTGATTAATTTAAAAAAAACAAAAAAGGTCTTTTGGCCCTTCTAGGTTGCCTTAGAAACTAATGCCGACGTCCTTGTTTTGATATGCCTGTCTGTCATCTATTCACTCTGGCTCTATTCATCAGTGAGAATAAATGGTGACCAACACTAATCTGTATCACCAGTCGCACAAGATATGGAGTATTCGTGAGACAGAAACTACTGTCACTGAGCAGATGTAGTCGTCTTGGGTTTGTTTTCTGTTTTCACTAATGCAATTAATGTGTTAATTTCCTTATTATTATGCATTAAAGTTTTTAATTTTAACCCCATGCAGAAGGACACACATTGTATATCCAATAATTCCAGTCATATCTTACTGGTTTTTTTTCATCAAACGTTAGTTTTCTTTACATAGTTGCAAATTAAATTAAAACAACACAGGAAGTTAGGAGAAAGACAAAATACATCACCCAGCCAATTCTACCAAAATGTGTTCATTATTGAAGAAAATAAGATCAACCATTAACACCTGTCCTAAGTGATACTTCTTTCCAATCAACTTCAAACCACAAAGTACGTCTCAGAAATAAACCCGTCAGTTTAACCTGAAAGTGTGTCCTGTTGCGGTGCATCCACTCGTTACAGTGTATTCTGCATGAAATTCAAATGTCTCTGATCGATGCTCATGGTATTCACTTTCTCAGTGCAATAAAGGTTTAGCAAAGATTTTGATTTCTGCTTCAACAGGGAAATGATCTGAGAAAGATTCTGCTCACACGATACTTTGGAAATCAGAAGCATCTCTCCAAGTCAGAACACGTCGGTGGAAACAGCTCATCTGGAGGTACTTAAAAACAAAAAACATGATAAACAAAGATAAAAACCACAACAGACACATTGAGAAGTAAGTGTGTAGAAAAGACAATTCTAATCTGTGTTGTTGAAATAAATCCTTGCAGGAGGATCTCCTACACTGGACTCTGACAAGCCAGGCAACAGTCTGGTGGAGATCCAGTGTCTCTTGGACAATGTTGGCGCATCAGAGTTGGTGATTGAGCTCATCGTCCACACTAAGAACGATCGGGTGTTTGAGGAGAGCATCCTGCTGGGGATCGCCCTTCTTCAGGGTGGAAATACACAGATACAGGTTTGACAACATCCATTCTGTTTGTTTATCTCAACACCAGTTCAGATTTTCAGGATTTCACATCTGTCGCCTCTTTGCCTTCCACACAGAACTCCTTCTACACCCAACTGTACAAACAAAAGAAGTCTGAGCGCTTCTTTAAGGTCTTTTATGACCGCATGCGGTTGGCCCAGCAAGAAATCCGAGCCACCGTGTCTGTCAACATGTTTGAGCTAAGCTGCCGAAAAAGGGAAGATGACACTGAAAACAGCGGCGTCCGCTTCAAAAAAGGTACAATCCAGGGCTGATGTGTCTGTGAACGTTTGTGTGTGAGAGACATGGAGTTCATGCTCACAACCACAAACAAAGACTTCCATATAAGCAGGCCCTAAAGAAAGAGGGTCAAAGGCCACAAACCCGACTCACATATACACTCAGAAAGTTTCACAGCCTGTACAACTCAGCCTTGACTTTAAACAAGAGATGAGAGTAAGTCAAAAAATGCTTACGGTCACTCTGCCGGCCTCTGCACAGACTGTTGTTCTCTATTCCTGCAGTCACACGTTAGGGAGCCATTTGATGTTCCGCAGCACAAGCTAACACAATCTAAAGCAGGCATAAGGTTAAAAGCATTTAATATTAGTCCACTTCACAGTCATATTGTTTTTGTCATTGTATTGCTCAGATAAACCACAAAAACAATGTTGATGCTCATTTATCTGCTCTGGACGTTGCATCACAGTGAAAGACTCGGGCCTCCATATGAGAGAAGACATGCGAGGGCAGCTGAAGGAGGCCTCCTCTGTGACCTCAAAGGCCTTCTGTGCATTCAGGAAGGAGCTGGACCCCGATTTTGAGAACCTGGCTCATACCGCCGAGATAATCGGACCAGAGGAGGTTTCGGACGATACGCAGATGAGCCCGTCTATCACCATTATGAAACCCATCCTACGTTACCTCCAGCTGCTTTGCGAGAATCACAATTCAGAGCTGCAGGTACCGGCCTCCTGCAGAGGGCTGGGATTTTTTAAACCCGGCGACTGATCTGACCGACTTGACTTCTAACAGACTTCTGTCTGTGCTTGTGCTTCCAATCTAGAACTTTCTGCGTAACCAGAACAACAAAACCAACTACAACCTGGTGTGTGAGACTCTCCAGTTCTTGGACTGTATTTGTGGGAGCACCACCGGGGGTCTCGGGCTGCTGGGCCTCTACATAAATGAGAGTAATGTTGACCTGGTTCGCCAAACGCTGGAGACTCTCACCGAGTACTGCCAAGGACCGTGCCATGAAAACCAGGTAAGAAAGGCTGCTTGATTTAGTGTAGTGAGTAGACGAAGCAGAATGCATAATGTATGACTTTGCAGACACATATTTTGCTGGGGGATGTTCATAACTCTTGATACTGTACTTTTTCTCTCTCTTTTCAGACCTGTATAGCCAAGCATGAGTCAAATGGCATTGACATTATCATAGCGCTGATTGTAAATCCCATCAATCCCCTGGGTAAGCACCGTCTGGACCTGGTGCTGGAGCTCAAGGTAAGAAGCAGGAGCCTCTGGGAGCCCTGCTAACCCTAATCAGACACAGCCATTAGCTGCCACGGTAACACTGTAACGGTGCTTATAGTTTTCCTAATAGCACCTTTTACTCTTCCTTAAACCAGCTGTTATAGTGTTTGAGACTGGCACTAAGAACGAGATGACTGAGGAATATGTAGTGTTTAAAAGAGTAAAATATCATATGGAATTAATTGAAATTACAAGATGTGGCCTAAAGGCGTGTTCAATTCACCAGTGGACTGTATAAATCAGCTGACAGCATTACGGTTTGTTACTGCTGTTACTGCTATAGATACAAATTGGTTCTTAATCAGCTTCACAAATGAAAATTGAAATTCAAGTGCAAAAAAATTCTACAGCTACACAAACTCTACTGTTGTAGCTCGGCCTAAAATGATGATGAATTGAAACAATGAAATATTGGATCAGTAGTGATGATGACAAACACGTAGTTGATTACGGTTTTCTCTTGTTAAAGAACAACGCGTCAAAGCTTCTTCTGGCCATCATGGAGAGCCGCCGTGACAGCGAAAATGCCGAGAAGATCCTTTTAAAGATGAGACCCAATGAACTGGTAATGTGTGTGTGTGCGTGTGTGTGTTTTTGCCCTCATCAGAATCCCTCTATATGGATTTTTTTTTTGCTCTTCAGGTAGATGTGATGAAGGAGGCATACACCCAGGGCCTGGAGAGTGAGGAGGATGAAGACAGTGTCGGAGACCAGATCACACCCAGAGATGTTGGACACAACATCTACATCCTGGCCCACCAGGTAACAGACGTGGTCAGGTCTTATCACAATGGCTTTGTCCACTTACTGATAGTGAAGCCAGTCTACGGCAGATCCCTGTGAATACTGGCACAGTGTATTTTCACTTATCTTTCTCAGCTGCTGCATCATGGTACCATGCAGATGTTAGCAGTAATGCTAATTGAGATGAACATATGATGTCATGTTCACTGGGTCACTGAGGCCACAGCACCTTAAGAGACCTCTCACAGGATCATGAGCCCACAGTGGGCTTTGGGGCCCTGTGAACTCCTTGACACCTCTTTAGTTTTTAGTTTTTTTCATTTTTTGAGCTCATTCATGATAACAGGCGTTCAGGAGGTCAGGAGACAGCACGGCTGTTTGATGAAAGAACAACGTAGACATTTTAAGACTTCTGTCGAGCTGACAGAAGTTTTTTGAAACAATTTGAACCCAAATTCAGAATGTTATAATGTACGTATAAAAGTTGAAGTTTTTAGGTGCTATTAATTGTACAAATACAGTAAAATGATCGGCTGTTTAAACAACTTGGTTTAAGGGATTACCAGAGGTAAAAAATAACAATAAGTTATGTCTGTCTCTCTCTCTCTCTCTCTCGGTCTCTGTCTCTCTCCCTCTCTGTTTTTGTGCTTTTGTCTTTCTGTGGGTTTTCACTTCTGCTGTACAGTCAGTGTCAGACAGTGTATTTTTGTCCACACAACCAGACTACGGTAGTTTCATCATGACAGGGAAAGTTTTTGTTCCACTGGTGATTTAGTGTTGACCTAAGAGCCTGAGTCACTAACACACACTCACTCACTCACATATACACACTCGTACACACGTACACAACCCTGTTTGTACTCAGTTATGTGTTCAACTCAATGTTTCTGTTTTCTTTTTGCACCTTTAGGCAAAATGATGTGCAGATCTGTGAACCAGTTAACAGAACCCTGTCTGAATTGGTCGATTTTTTTATTTTTTTTTTATTTTGTTCAATTATTTATGCAAATATATAAATGCAAACTGACAATAATTTACCACATGAGCAGATGTTTTTATTACATTTGAAGATCTGACTTGGGGTTAAAATGATAGTTGACTAACACTGTTGGTAACATTTAAGTTTTCATAACCCTGTCACGACCTTTTTGTGTGAATCGAGTACTCTAAACTTTTTTTGTTTTTTTTCATTTTTAATCATAGCTCGCAAGACACAACAAAATCTTGCAGCAGAGCCTCAGACCAGGTTCGATGTTGGGACAAGGAATAGTGGTGGACCCTGACAGTGAGAAGAATGATGCGCTTCATTACTATGCCAACCAAACAGCTCAGATAGAGGTAATCCTCGTGTCCCTTTGTCTCTGTCTTCATTTGAGTACATGTCAGGATTTATCTTCATACATTTATTCACATTTGTTTCCTAGATTGTGCGCCACGACCGCATCATGGAGCAAATCGTCTTCCCGGTCCCTAATATTTGCAAGTACCTCACAGAGGAGTCCAAAGTGCGTGTGTTCACCACCACAGAAAGAGACGACCAAGGCAGCAAGGTTAACGACTTCTTTCAGCAGTTTGACAACCTTTACAACGAGATGAGGTGGCAGAAGAAGATCCGCAGTAAGTGTGCACTTTCTGTGCCCCACGCCTGGAAAATAACGACTGTGGCACAGAAGCTGGTGGCAGGCTTATCGTCCTGAGTGTCCGGTTGTTGTTATTTCTGGAAGCTGCAGTGATTTCGTGTTTGCTGACTCGGTGTTAACTTCCTCCTACTTTTAAGCCCCCTGTTGTGTTTGTGCAGAGAACAAGGCCCTGTTTTGGTTTTCACGTCACATTTCTCTCTGGGGGAGCATCTCCTTTTACCTGGCGTGTTTGCTCAACATCGCTGTGGCCGTGTTTTACCCGTTTGGTGATGATGGAGATGAAGGTGAGATGTGATGTAAAGGAATAATCATGTATTGAAATGTATTAAAAATGTGGATGTACGAGAGGTCCTCAACTTACATTGGTTACTAGTGACGACATAACTTGAATTTTCGCTGTTTATTGGAACTTCCATACAATTTCATATCCCGTACAGCAAAATATCTAGGAAACCTGTGTTGAGAACACAGTGGTAACTCGGCAGCTGGTGGACTCGAACCAATCCACCACTCCCCCTACTCTTTACATTACTCACCATTAAAATATGAAATTCAGTTAATTATCAGTTGTCTGCGGCCCCTCTGATTTTCTTTGGAGAACTTTCCGAGATCAATTATTATAAACTTTACCATAGGCCTATTATAAAAATATCGTTAAGGAATCCCCATATTTCATGCTAGATTCATGTGTACTACATGAGCAGTGCCATCCGGTTGAACAAAAGAAGCTCAACAGGTTTAGGTTTATTATTTATTTGTTGACCCTGTTAAATCCAAATGTCTACATTTATTTGTATGCAGTCTATATTCTACACTGCCCTGTCGAGTCAGTAGCCTGTAGTGATTTTGAAGTGTTTACACCAGATGCCTTTCCTGATGCAACCTAAACTAGGATTTACCACTAGGTGGTATTGAATCCAGAACTGTTGACTATCGCCTACATGTAGTAAAGAATTGACAAGACTCATGTGAAAGTTCTCACCCACTCTCCACAGTGCTCTTATTTGTCAGTATCTGTTATGAAACTAGGGTGAGAGGGTAATTGTAATGTTGGCTATATTTTCTTTTTCTCTTCAGGCACCCTGTCTTCTTTATGGAACATCTTACTGTGGGTGGCCCTGGCCATATTCACTGTACTGCTTCCTGTCCTGCCAAAGCCCTGGGGCATCCTGTTCTTCCTGGTCTCCCTAATTCTGCGTGCCATCTACACCATGGGCCTCGGTCCTGCACTGGTGTTGCTGGGCACTGTCAATGTAAACTAAAGTCTAACTGTTTTCTAAAAGTATTTTTATTCATGTCACTTGTGTATATCTAACAAAGTTGTTCTTTGTTCATTTTCAGCTTTTTAATAAGCTTGTCTTCCTTGTGAGTTTTGTGGGGAATCAGGGGACTTTTACCCGAGGCTACAAAGCAGTTGTCATGGACATGCTTTTCATCTACCATTTGAGTTATGCCATCATCTGTGTCCTGGGCCTCTTCGTGCACGAGTTCTTTTACAGCTTTTTGGTAGGAAGAATTTCATCCTAGATTAGTAGATTTTCTTGGAACAATCGATTCAGACTTGATTGCGACCGTTTGTTAAAATCCCCCCCCCAAAAAAAAAAAAAAATTGAAAATTGATTCTCAATATCTTACACAGCTGTTTGACCTGGTGATCCGAGAGGAAACGCTGCTCAATGTTATTAAAAGTGTGACGAGGAACGGACGCTCCATTATCCTTACGGCTGTTCTGGCAATCTTTCTGGTCTACTTCTTCTCCATCATTGGGTTCCTGTTCCTCAAGGATGACTTCCGTATGGAGGTTGACCGGCTCTCAGGTCCAGGTATGTACTTGGATCGTTATAATCTATTTATGATACTTAATACTTTATATTTGCTAGATTGTGTGAGTTAAAAGACGAGAATATTCAACCCAGGTTATAGTTTATAGTTTGTGGAAATCACTGTTTTAGGAAGTTGATAAATTAGCAAATCAGCACCCCGTTATTTAACCTTTAGAGTAAGAACTGAACTGAAATAATGAACCACCTGTTAGTGTTGTCTTTAGGCAGTGTTTAAAAGGATACAGATACCAAAAGCTGACCTCAGAGTTATAAATATGGTTTATGTTCATGGTCTAACATTGTTTTTTTAGCACATAAATTGCTTTCCTGACTTTGTGTGTGTGTGTGCATACATATATATATGTCTATGTGTGTCTATATATACATATATGTATATGTTAACAATATAAATAAATAATTATGTATATACCTGTTTATTATTTATATTTATAAAATTAATAAATATAAAATAAAAATATAATATTATATATATATAAAAACAAATAACAAATATAACATAACATTGTGTCAATTTTAATAGTAATAGTAACAATGGACTTTTGTGTTGAGCATACTTTTAGATATTTTTAAATTATGCATTTTTATGTTGAGGTTGCATTGAAAACGTACTCCAGTCATTTCTTTGCAGCGTCTGTCAAGGTGTACTGTATGTATCCTGGGGTGCAGCCATCTCAAAGCAGAGACACATTGACATCATAAACATCATTGTTGCAATAATAAACAGTGTAGATCTAAAATATCTCATCAATATTATGATGATTTCTTGTGGTGGTCGGCATATTGTTTGATTATTTTTAATTAATATAAATAATATTTTATGTCACTTGCTGATTTTATTTTATTTTCTATACCATTTCAAAACAATCTATGTCATGGTGTTTGTCTTGGCTGCTGTATGGGAACACCTCGGATGTATATATGTGTGTATATGCATAGTCAGGCGCACCTCATGAGAACAGTGTGCAGCAGTGTGGAGCTGCTAACGAGCTCGGGCCGTCAGAGAGACAACCTGCCAGCGCATGTGCACCTGTTGCATAACCTGGCGGCTACGGCAGGGCATCTAGTGTTTTGCTGAAGCGACAGCTGAGCAGTAATTGATTATGTAACCAGCCGCGCTCACACTTGTCTGTTAGCTGGGACACAATTGCAGCTCAGTCAAAGCTGAAGAGCCCGGTGTCCGTGCTCTGCCGAGTCAGACCTGACTGTTCCACTCCCCGGCTCAGTCCTACTGTCCTTGTTTCTGTCGTTTTCCACTTTCCTCCCTGTTCTGTTCCGTTCTCTGTCTACAGGCCCTATGCTGGGCCTTTTGTCCACACAGGGTCTTAGCTGATCACTCAAGTGTAGCTCCTCTGCTGCTTCACCGGTGTGAAAAAGATTTTTTTTTTCTCCCCTGCAACATTTGATCACCCACTCAGCAGCTGCTATCACACTTCACATAATGTCTGTCTATATCTTCACCACTGTTCCTATACTGCTGCTGATGTGCCAGAAGCAGACATCTCTTCAGCTCAGTTCATTCACCATTGTTATTATTCTCTGTTCAATCTGTCTTTAATTTTGCAGGGAAAAAGGATTTACTAAGTAATGCTGAGATGACTGACACATGTATGAGGGATCGATGCCCCACTTCCACACCTTCACCGGTCACTGGTAAGAAAACTTGTTAACCAAAGAAAACATCAATCACTCATTAAATTAAATTAAAAATGTTATAGCACTGGTTAGTAGTAAAACGTGTTTTTCTATACATAATTATATATATCAAATTGAAAGATTTTAAAATGTGAATTTTAAAATGGAATTAGTTAGTTATTGTTAAACCAACACTGATTTTTTAAACCTGCACACAACACTGGGACATGCAGTGTTCCACACTGTTTTGTAGACACACACACACACACACTAAGAAGCATGCACACAAAGGAACCTGATGAGGCAGAGTGGGTGACTCACTCCTGCTTGTTCTCCTGTGTCTCCATGGATCACCTGCACTATAGGGGCGCACACGTGATCTCGTCCACATCCTCTACACTTGCACATTTTTTTTCTCCACGTTGTGCTGTTCCACCATTAGCAGCACTCTATATATCCATGTGATGGAAATTTGAATTGTGTCATTTACTTCAAGGACCTATTGTCACTATTAATATTACAACGGAGGAGGCGAGGGCTCTGCTGTTTTTTTTTTTTTGTGGTTAAATCACTCACATTGTTACCAGTTTATTCATGAAAAAGTTAATTTTTTTAATTGTAGATTGAAATAACAAATTTGATGGTCCTTGTTTTTGCCAGTTCCCTGCACTCAATCCACATTCTTGTTAGATAAGAGTGCTCAAATATGAAGATAAAATAATAGGAATTACTGCATTTCTTCTTGAATATGACTCAGCACTTGTAAATGGGCGATGGTCGGTTCGAATCCCGACCCAGACAGGACAGTTGTGTGTCTAGGGAAAACACCAGAACCCGCAGTGGGTTGGCTTAAATTCAAAGTATTAATAATAATATGTTTTGTCACAGATGAAGACGGGACAGAGCGCGTGTGCGACACCCTACTCATGTGTATCATCACAGTGTTGAACCAGGGACTGCGTAACGGAGGTGGAGTCGGAGACATTCTCAGGAGACCTTCCAAAGAGGTAAATACACACACATCCACATGTACTACCTCTACATTGTACTCTTTAAATTTGTGGCGTTTTTTTTTAAATAAACTTCCAACGTGATCACGCAGGAGCCACTGTTTGCTGCGAGGGTAGTTTACGACCTGTTGTTCTTCTTCATCGTCATCATCATTGTCCTCAACCTCATCTTTGGTGTCATCATCGACACATTCGCTGACCTGAGGAGTGAGAAACAGAGGAAGGAGGAGATTCTGAAAACCACGTGTTTCATCTGCGGTGAGTACAGACGGTGCGTGTTGTTACCTCGGTGTCGTACATACTCCACGTGACCGTCAAGTAAGGGGAGCTCATGGTTTTCAGGCCTGGAGAGAGACAAGTTTGATAACAAGACGGTCACCTTCGAGGAACACATTAAGTCGGAGCACAACATGTGGCACTACCTCTACTTCCTGGTCTTAGTCAGAGTAAAAGATCCAACTGAGTACACTGGACCTGAGAGCTACGTGGCTCAGATGATTGGGGTAAGTGGACCTAGGCACAAATCACAAATACGTAAAAATCAACTTGTTCAACAACTTCCTCAATACCCTTTTTTTCTAAGTGTAATGCTAGATTAATATCCAAATTACTTAATTTCATTGTAACGTTACCATCTCCCATAAATTCTTTATGCAAGTCTTGTTCCATCATTCCGACGTACGGAGTTAAAACAGTTTTCGCATGGGAAGTAGTCAGTGAGTGGATCGGACAAATACATCGTCGCGCGGCTAGATACGCAGAACTCGGCAGTGTTTACATTCGTCGGTTGTACACCAAACATTGGATTATGCTTAAAAAGTTTAAAAACTGAATTTTACTGCATAATAACAATAAGGACATTTAGCAGATATTCAGAATAAATGTTTCTAATGAGTACGACAACACTGACTTACGGAGAAGAATGGCGCTACATTGTGTCATAGGAACAGAATTTTGGTGTAAGATTAGGACCCCCCCCCTCCCACTCCCCCCCGTATTACAGATTGAATCAGCTGACTTTTATACACATCATTGTAGCCATAGCACAGACAAAACCCATTGGAGTCCATTGAAACTTTATCACTTATCACATAGTGATTGTAATAACCTTTTCTAATTTTTGTGTTTATACATTCATATATTTCATTTTTGGTACTTAATAATAATAATATTATGTATAATACTAGTTCCTGTTCCTGTTGTCTTTAGTGATCCTGCCCTCCCAAGCTTCATCTTACTGCTGTAACTTAAGGTTCAAAGTTCTAGAAGTTACTGCACTGTGTATATAGGTGATATATTTCGACTGCAGTGTTTGCACACAGGATCATTAAAACACACAGGCCTAATGGATTTTGCTCCATATTCAACATTGGGAAGACTGTTTCCTTTGTTCATATTTTGCTGGGGTGCTGTAGCATGCAGCATACAGATGTCTTGGTGTCGGAGTCGTAAAAAGATTTGCATTGCTTCTTTGAGAAAAGATTTCCACAGTGTGCTCCAAAAGCTTGCAGTCCCTCAACAGACGAGAGAAAAAAAAATGAGACTGAGCCTCTAGGCCTGTGCCAAGCATCCCAATTTATTCTTCTCTCCCCTCCACTCCAGGAGAGAGAGAATAATGGGGTCTCGTCTGCGACTGGGTCATTTGCCGCTGAGCTTCACGATGCACCTCACCTGCTGGGACGCAGTGCTGCTAAATAGTAATTAAACCTAGTCTAAGTTTATTATCGTCACCGACGTGCTGCAGTGACATTAAAACACACAGTTGAAGGATGTAAGGCCACCTGAAGCTGTTGGCGTCAGGTTAATGGAATCATACGAAGCTCTGGGCCACAGTGGCACATTTGTCATTAGCACTCCGTCGTGATGGGCATAAGAATTGTCGCATTAGAGAGAAGTATTTGCATAACAAACGCGTGTCAGACATTAAGATTAATATGCGAGCCGGGCGGTTCTCTCAGGCCAGGTCAAGGTTCGGCTCTGTGATGAGCTAATGTCCACTGAGGTATTCATAGTAACCCTTTGGATTTAAAACCACAAAGGACACAGTCTCGGCAGCTAAAAGGAAACATATTGTACACCAAGTCTGCCGTCATGTAAGTTCCAGTGTTTACACGGTGAAGGAAGCATCCTTCAGTAAAAACTAAACTCCGCCAACAAACTTCTGCTGCTTCCCTGAGGAATTCTGAGTAATTACTATAACACCGCTGGTGCTGGTGTAACACGTATGCTGTGGTGAGCTAACGCAGTGTTTCCCAAACTTTTTTTTTATGGGGACCCATATTTTAAAAGTCACAAACCTTCGCGACCCAAGTCAGTAGACATTATTCGTAAACTTCACCTGAGGGTCACGACCCAGTCTTTGGGAAACAATGATCTAACGCACTCTACTCCTCCTTCTGCTGTACTCATTTGAACCATTCATTCTGAATACTTACTAATTGTCCTAATTGTTGTAGTGCAGTAAAATTCAGTTTTTAAACTTTCAGGCTGCCAGTTTGCAACATGGTTTGTTTTTGTTCTTTGAAATACTAAATTAATGGTCAAATATTAATCAAAATGAATGCATAAATACCATTATGAATTTAAGCTTATGAAATCTGACTACATTTTTAAGGCATTTTAAGGTATGGGCACAGTGATGTAGACTGTAAATCCAGTAATCCCTCCAGCCATCCCAATGTCATTGCTGTGGTATCCTGTGATACCCAAAGACTGCCTGTATATACATACTGTATTTAGTCTATACTGTGCATCTGCACAGCTTACACCCATCTTTGCATCTGTTTATCACAATAGGTTTGAATGTGCTTTTTCTAATTACCTCTGTGTTTTTCCTATTGTCTCTTTATGTATGCTCTGTATTCTGCTGCTACACTGTAATTTCCCAGCCTGGGATCAATAACAACCATCTATCTATCTATCCATTACAAAGTCAACATTTTGTGGTTAGTTGCAGCTAGAGTTTGGACCTAAGGCCTGTTTCCAAAGAAACAGAGGTGGAGCCAAGGCGTCTTTAGGAGGTAACAAGGCGGATATCCTCGAGATGATCAAAACTTTATAACTTAGTAGTTGAAAGCTTTAAATGTTGCTAATTTTTGCATTAAGGTACTGTATGTTTGTAAAATACTTTAGAATGGTGCTGCAACCAAAGCACCTTCCCAGGCGTCTTCAAAGGAGATTCATTATCTTGACGTGTTCTCCACAGTATAATCCAATACCAAAATGTGCCGTCGGTCCTGGGCCCCCTCTTTCAACTGAGTTGTTTTAGTAGCTGTCTGCTGCTGTCATGTGTGTGTGTGGGGGGGGGCAGAGACAGGAGAGCACGTGCCGGCAGGGCTGAGCTAATAGCGGGCTACTTAAGAAGGGTTATGTAACAGTATTGTGGCTGCTGCAGTACCTGCTGGGCCTGTAGCTGCTGCTGTCATACTTTCACACGCAAACACCCCACACGCTGACTCACTGGCACATGCACAACACTGCAACAACAGTTACCCAACACCACAATGCTCCCATGACCACTAACTGACCTGTCCTGTTCCTATAGATCAGCCATTATAAGAGTCTGTGTGTGAGTGTGTGTGTGTGTGTGTGTGAACGTACTTTTTGTAGGGCATTTTCTAATACTACTACTACTAATAACTACTTATAATACTACTAATGTTAATAGAATTGTAATACTAACAGTAATAACAGTAATATAAGACTGAACTTTTGGGTTACCCATTATTTGGTTAAAGATGTTTTTAAAACTTGATGGACAATAAACACTACCGTCCACTGGTTTTTGTGGGGGGAAAAAAAAGGTCCTGCTTTTGCTGAGGTCTTTTCTCAAATATGTAAAGAAATATCAAACAATTGAGGAACTCCCTCATTTTTATTTCATGCAGTCACTACATGAACAGCCACACGTGGCTCCCAGGGTTGGAGATCTCTGGGTCAAAGCTAAAACCAATCATTTGAAACATGTTCATGGAAGAAGAAAAACAATTCTTCTGTTGCATAGAACAGTTAATTACAAAGTTGGATTTCAAAGGACCGAAGTTTACCCTAGGAAGTTTGGGAAGAAGTTCAAATGTTTTTCAGCTACGCCAATAACATTTTCAAATGTATTTCTCACATTTACACGATGGAAACTAAAACTTCAAGAGTTCAAGACAGTAGTAGTAGTAAAACCCAGGCACATCGTCTTAGTAGAAAAATTAAAACTCTCACTCAGCAATGTGTGATAGAGACATTATTAAAAAAAAGAAAACAGAAAGTAGCCCACACATTTCACAGTCTTCTCACTGTCTTACACTGTGATGTGTCTCTATCCCTCCAGTCTATTCTTATATAAGAGTAGGTGGGAGAAAAACCTCACTCCACCTACAGGAATTAATGGGCTGCTAGTCAAATCCTCCTTTCGGCGCGTTTTGAATCACTTTTGCCAGACGAACTGGCAAGAAAAGATTACATAAGAACTGGTGGCTTTTACATTTCAAACCTGCAGTTGTCGGAACGCAAAAATCCTAATAGCATTGATTCATCTTGTTGATTCACGGATGTCAAATGCATCACTGTAAAAGATATGCCTTCTCAGTCGGTCGTGTTCTTGATCGACGATAGTGACTCATCCTCACATCATCACTGTTTATGGAGGGAGTCAGGTTGAAAATGCCACTCACTGATCACTTAATGTATAATCTGGCGGTTTTAGCAGCGCTCAGTCAGCAGAAACATGGAAAACAGCTTCTCTACTGATGGACTGATTAAAACCAAACCTCCTGCTCAGTTTCAAGGACCCCAGTTCTAGCTACGGTCGCGCTCTAACTACTCTAATACGTCCTGCGTGTCTGTGCAAATCCTCCAGTTTGTTGTCTGTGCCCACATGCTGTCACACTCATCCTTGACCTGACTCAGCAATTTTTTTTTCCTGTCCGGTTCCCTCACAGCTCCTCTTGCATTAACAACCTGTGCCTCTTTTGTCCCAGGAGAAGAATTTGGAATGGTTTCCTAGAATGAGAGCCATGTCTCTGGTGAGCAGTGAGGGAGACAACGAGCAGAACGAGATGCGCTCTCTGCAGGAGAAATTGGAAGGCACTGTCACTCTGGTGGCTCAGCTCTCAACCCAGCTGTCTGAGCTCAAGGAGCAGGTAGACAGTCACTTCACATTGCTGATGCTTAAGATGTATGATGCTGTATGATTCTGTGTGTGTGTGTGTTGGGTGGGGTTTATAATGGTGGCTCAAAGCAAAATGTTTTAGGTTTGAAACCTGATTCTTTGGACTTGTTAGCCAGCTTGCTTAACGACTCTGCTTAACAATTCCACCAGACATTTTCTTGCTGACATATTTGACCTCACGCTCGCACTGGATGTGTTTACAACACGATGTCAAGGCAGACGGGGTCTGAAGTTTGGCTGCGTTGCATGAAAAATACACAGTGGGCTGTCCCAAGACGGCCACAGCTTTAACTGGAAAAACAAAAGCAAAGTTCTACATAAAGTATGCAGAATCATGATTTCCAGCAATCACAGTGTTCTTTGTCTTTAAACTCAGTCAGGTCCTGTCCCGAGTGGACATAGTGTTGACCTGTTTTCACTATAGTGTATGCATAATGTCCATCCAACTGGTTGAGTGTACGGTTTATGTTAACACTGTAGGATGAGTGTCTGCCAAATATTGAAGATGGTGGATCTTTATAAACAATGGCAAAAAATCCGGCCCATTGCTGTGTTCTAGAGTATTAACAGAGAGGGTTTGTCGAAGGGTCGACCTGAGTGGCCGTATGTGTTGCAACGCATTCTCCAACTCTGATTGGCTAACACTGATATTTTATCCTCGACTTAACCAAAGGTTGGACTCATTCACCCGCTCATAAAATGAGCAGCATGAGCCATCCATCAGTCCATGAGTAAGAAAGTGACCTGAGATCATCTGACTGGGAGCTGATTGAACAACTGGGTGTTGTGTTCTCTTCTTTTTATGCAGAGGAGATGTTGTGTTTTCATGCAGTTCCAACAACTGAGGATGACTTGTCCTGCCTGTGCCTCAGTGGGTAGCCTCTCAACCAGGAGGGTCATGGTTTTAACTTCACGCTGACAGACGGACCATCAGTCTGGTCGAGGTTAACTTTTTGTGATTCATTTAGCTTTGTTAGTGTCCACTATAGTGAGGACACATGCAAATAAGCCAACAGGATCTTCTTATGAATCACAGCAAAGGTTTATTTATTTAATTAGGCTGCTTAATCAGCTGTACACATCAGAGTCCACGTGTTACCTGATGTTTGGTAGAGAAAAATAGCTGGAGGAGCACAGAGTGTGGAGATGACGTCAGCACTCTCAGTTTTCTGTCAATCTCTCAGTTTATTAACGCTTGATGGATTCTTTTAGAGCTGTAACGCTGCCTTACTGATGGTTCACTATCATGTCGGTGATCAGTGTGACTCAGGCAGCCCCTGGCTGTTTGGATGACTAGCTCTGCTGCTGCAGTGTGACTGATCACTCTCATCACCTGCCTCTGCTGCATGTGATTCCAGTCACAGGCCTGTCCTTGTTCCTCTTTCCCCAGATGTGTAAAAAAACAAGTCGAACAGGGGACGATCACACTCCAGTAAACAAAAACAATGACCTCTGTCAACCCTTGGTGAAGAGTGCCATCTTCCTACTTCCTCCTTGTGGTTTTGTGTCTCATGCTGCAGCAGCTTGCGTCTTATCTAGGCAGTCCAAGTGCCTTCGAGCAAGACATGGAAGATACATAGAGTGGTGTCGTAGTATCGAGAAAAATTCCATAGAATACTGAAGGTGGCAATACTCACTCTGATAGATGGATACATGGATGGATAGATCATTGTTCCCAAAGATCTGGGTTGCGACCCTCAAGAGGGGTTTTTTTGGGTTGTCTTACATCATGTTTCCCAGGAGTTTATGAATAATGTCTGTTGACTTGGGTCGCGAAGGTTTGTAAATTCTAAAATATGAATCCCCAGAAAAATATTTATGACATCATCACTCAAACCACTCAAAGGGGTCTGTTGGCAGGGAACAGACAGAGGTGGTTGATAGTGTCTAGTTGTTCAGGTAACAGCATTTAAACCTGACAAAGAACAGACGGATCATCAGAGGACAGGAAGTAGATCAAAGCTTTCTTTACTAACCCCCATCACCATTTGGCGCTGGGTCTCCACAGTGTCCACACCTTCAGTTGACTCTGTGTTGTGTGTTTATTTAGGGTGTTTTTGTTCCTTGGGCTGTTCATTTTAGTTTCTCCCCTCACATGGTGACTCCTCAGCTTTGGTTCCTCTATCACTGTGATAGAATCAGCACATGGCTACGGGGAGTTTCATTTGCTCTGCCACCTTTTAGACTGCACAGTCCAATTTTGTCTTGGGCTTTTTTGTTATGACAATCATTTTTTTAGTCGTCCAAAAGCAAATCTTGACCTTTACGTTTTATTCATGGGGTAACTGAAGCTTTGGTGAACATGAATGGATATGATTTGGAGGGCTGTGCATCCAGTGTTTAAGCCCCTGATACTTATAATGCATTCACACTGACCTGTTTAGTACTAGAGTGGTGATCCCTGGGGCTTTTATCCCTCTGGTCAGGTAGTTCTCGTATGTATCTCCACCATACATTTGATGTTTGTTCTAGCTCTGAAGAATCTGATGAGAACCTGCAGCTTTTTGTATCACATCTCTGGTTTTGAAATCCCACCACTGACCCTCTTTTTGATTGGTTGCATCTAGTAGAGTCAAGTTTTATAGCCCTGATTTTTTATCATCAATCCATGTGAAACAATGTAATAATTTTGTTCAAGTTTTGACTTGAACAACCTCAAATGAACCGGTCAAGAGGTCAAGGTCCTCGTGATCACACAGACACAGCTGCGTCTGGTGCTCGGGATTTTTTTTCGACAAACACCCCCTGGGAGTTGAATTTGTTACAAACGTTCAGTCTGATGGATGAGACCATGCCATTTACAAAGCATGGACTGAGTGCACAAATTGGATATCAAAATAGTCAAGTGATTCCACTTTAAAAACTAACAGGTCAGGATCATGGTGATCATATGTGTTTATGAATGTGATGTTTGACGAACTTTATTAAAATGCAACATTAATGCAATTGGATATTGATGACCTTCTGCAGGATAAAATATTGTTTTTTCCGGACTATGAGTCGCACTTTTTTATCATTCTTTGGCTGGGTTTGCGACTTATACTCTTATATAATATACTATAACAATTATATAATTTCACATATTTGTTATTTTCACACTGACCGCTGCTAGAGGGCACTCTAGCTGGCTGGTGCGACCAATACTCCGTATTATATATGTTTTTTTCTTCTTCAGCATGCATTTTTTTTGGCTGGGGCGACTTATACGCCGGAAAATGTCAGTGAAAATCCATTCAGGTTGATGTGTTTTTGTGTCTCTTCCACAGATGACTGAACAGAGGAAAAACAAACAGAGGCTGGGATTCTTGGGTCCACCCCAGCCCAACAATCACATGCAGGCTCAATGACACAAATGAAGCACAGCGGCTTCTAGAGTCCGGGCTCAGCCTTAAAGCAACGGTGGTAAAAACAAACAAACAAACAAAAAAAAAACAAAACAAACGGTGCCTTTGGTGTTTTCTTGGTCCATAGGAGCTCACTTCACACAGTCACTCATCTCTGTGAATGATTAACCCCACACAGCACATGTCCCCCGCTGTAGTATACTGTACGTACCAGACGGAGCTCGGGGTAAAGTGTCGTCAAAGGGTTAATGGTTAAGTGCAGTCAGTCTACAGGTGGCCAATCCGTCACCTTAACTGCCTTAGTGCTCACTGTTCAGCCCGTCACAGGTTAACGATTGGCTGCAGAGACAAAAAGGTGGGGGGGGGGTTATCTAAAAAAAAAACGTGTTCACTAACATCAAGTATTTTACTTGTACTTGATGATAATAAACAAACTGGAGTATTATTTTTTTTTTTTTTTTTGCTTTTTTGAGGAGATTTCATGCTGCCTTAGCTAAATTTCAACTACTGAAAGTGCACTTTTAAAAAATAATAGACTATTTAGGACAATTCAAGTGAGTCTGGAGTAGTACGGTCGGTACATCTGATGAATTTTAAAATGCATTTACTGCACACACACACACACACACACACACACACACACACACAAGCACGTTTCAGATGCTTTTTAATAGATTCTTTCTAAATATCAAACTAAATGTAAATAAAGAGTAATCCCATGTTAAATATCATTACATTGTCTAAATCCTGTGTTGGTACCTAAAGTTGTTGGGTTTTTACTACACATCCATGTTTATGTTAGTAATACTGTAATATACTGTCTCTTTGTACCATCTTTTTTCTAATATTTCTTACAGCAAAATCCTCTGACTACAGTAATTTAAGCCTTCCGTCTTGTCTTGAACTTGCACAAATGACAGAAAACAGCTGCACTCGACGGTACCTGTGAAATTTTGTGTTTTAACAAAGTGTAAAGAAAATGTCATTATTGTTGGTGGATGTTGAATGAATAAGTTTGAAAGGAGACTCTTGTTTTTCATCAGACTTTATTATCTGAATAAAAGTGTATATTTAGCTACACACACACACACTGTTTTTTATGACTTGTGAGGACTTGGACCTGAGGACTTGGACCTTCTTCTTTCCTAACACTTTTTTATTAACATTAGTTAAATGTAGCTAAGCTTCCTTTAAAACTGGTATGGATAGAACACCAACTCTTAATCAAGATAACACAGTGTAGTTGTGGTTAGAACCTGTGCCTCACAGCAAGAGCGCCACCTGTGGGTCTTCTTTGGGTAGATTGGTCTGTGCTGTTGTCTAGAACTTTTTTAGAGCAGATTGGATTTACTCCGTTTCCTCCCATAGCGTTAAACAAAGATAAATGTTTGGTTATGAATAAATGACCCTCTGTCAGTCAGTCTTCAACACTTCTCAGCAGGACTGTGATCTTAACCCTAGCTTTTAGAAAATGGTCTGTTGTAATAGCTGCTGCGCCCCAGGAATGCACATTCAGCCTGATCTGGGATTCAAACACCTGACATTCAGTTTACTCTTCTGGTACTCATGCGTTTCACTGTCACATCTGCCCACACCACTGTTGATGCAGCACTCAATATTCCATAATGCATTGAATAATTTATGGTAGCTGATAATTCATAGATAATGTCGGCTGTGTGTTTGTGCTTGTTTATCATTTTTTTAAAGTGCATAAACAAATCATGAAGCCTTTTATTCTCCACGGCTTCAATTGTCTTCACTTGTTCAGCCGTAGTTGCTTCTGCAGCCATTCAAATTAGCCAACGGAGCCATAATGGTGAGCAGCTGTCACTGCAGAGACCAGAAAGCTGAAGTACAGCATGACTGGAATGTAGTGGACTCGGAGAGGGGGGTAAAGAGGGAGCAGGAGCATTACTGCTATCTGTCTGAGCCCTGAGCTTTGCCACAGTGAGATACCAACAAAAATGTATTACTACCTGAACAGACGATCACTTACAGGAAAAAAAAAGATAATAGTATTTTGTAAGTAAAGGTACTTGTGTTGGTGCGACGTAACTTGATTTTCATCGTAGGTTGGAACTCGCATACTGTATGTCAGTACCTGTGTCACTCACCTACGCTAACACAGTGGTAACATCATAATGTGGGACATAAAAACATCAAAAGAGTCTGACTTACACCTGAGAGCCATAATGAAGGGCAAAGAGTTCCCATTAAAACAACACAAGCAAAAGAAAGCGAATGTAGCACAATCAAACGTATAGCATACAACTGTCGAATGTATACACTGACCACTCACTGACTAGTTCCAGTGCAAAATGTATTTTAACGCTGTACATCGCAATGATGAAACAAGACTTTCCACAAAAAGTCATAGGTCGCGGACATCATGAACTGAGGACTCTGTATTCTAAAATAAACGGACACGTCACCAGCATCTGAAAACATCCTTGATCACTGACATACATACCCTGCACCACCCTGACATACTTGTAAGCCACTCCTGACTTCCTCATACAGTACCACAGTTCCTCTTTGGGGATTGTTATGGTTCCTCAAGACCCAGGAAAAACAGTGCCGCTTCATGTGACCTTCCCTGAACTTCTCTACCAACACTCTCAAAGTGAAAATTGCATCTGTAGTACTCTTCTTGGTTACGAAACCAAAGTGCTCCCCTACGCTTCCTCCCTTTTCTCCCCTCTCTTCTCTTCCCTTTCTTTTCTGTTGCTCACCTGTTGATGGCCGAGACAAAAAGCAGCACAATAAGGGTCTGAGATCAGCTGAGAATAGAACCCTTTAATTGGATCTTCTCCCTGTTGTTGTGACAGTACTTGCTGTGTGGGATCTATTTTTATAGTTTCCTACAATGACTGCTAATAGTAGAAGAATCACTTCCAGCCTCTCCCTTTATCAGGGGTCACCACAGCAGTAATCCACATAGTTTTTACCCTTCCTGATGCAACCCGATTTGGGATTTGGGGAGGTGGGAGGTGGTATTGAACTCATTGCCTTCTGATGGCGGGCACTGAACCACTGTACCCCATGAAATGACTGCTAATACATTAGCTAATACATTAGCCTATATATACATTATACAACATGGTATTGACTAATCGTACATTAGCTTGTTTTAACTCTGCTCTTAGCACTATTTAACATTATTTTTTCTTTAAATCTGGTTTCCTCCTCATCCTGTCTTTACTCACTTCCTTTCTTTTTAGTGACTGTTATGCCTCACAATAGCATTCATTGTTGCCATGTTGAAGAGATTGTTAGAGGTACGATAAGCCATGACAATACTGTGGGCTAATAAGTAGTATCATAGTACTATATGTTCACTTGACTTCAGTTACTTGATTTCATTGCCTTTTAAGTAGGTGTATATTTTTTATTAATAATTTATATTATTATTATTATTATTATTGTTTGATTTAAGGATTTGTGGGTTGTAGGTTCAATTCCTGGCTCAGTAGGTGTATGTGTCATCCTTGCAGATCCTAGCCAGAAAATGACAAAGTGATGGGGTAAACACTGTGGTTGCATTAGAGGAGCACTATGTTAGCATTACGACAACAGGTTGTTTCACTTGTTACAATTTTTTAGCACAAACTCTGGCTTGTCTGTCGACTGAGCCACTACACAGTGAACTTGGACACGTAGCCCACATATTACCAGTATTCTGTATTAATTGGTCAGTACACATGTTTACTGCAGTGAAGACGCAACTGTTCAAATTTCAGAATAATTACATAATCTTGTTTGAGCTCGTAGTTATGTCTGTCAGTAATCGTCTGCAAAGTGACACGCACTAGACCACACAAAAAGTTTGCCACCAAGTGTGTGGAAGGGAAGCGACCCCCACTTAGCTGTCATTTTTAAAAATAAACATGCCCCTCTAATGGCTGGCATGTGACTTCCTGCCTGCGGTCATATTACACATCAACATCATAACGCAGAAGTACGAAAGGCCAAGAGGCTTTGGTAAATGTTTTCAATGTGTGTTCCTTTGTTTGGGCCGAGAAATCGATACTTTTTGGTGGGAAACTGTGATCGGATCAGACAGTTAACCTCGTTGTTTATTGTCGGCTTCACATATTAGTCATAGTTTTGTAAACCAATAGTATCTCCTGTCGATATAAGCATTGATTTACTCCTTTGGCTAACTTCTGTGCGTATAAGATCCTTGAATGAAAGCTTTGTACAACAGCCACAACATTCTATCTCACGATCTGAAACCGCACATGAATTCACACAGACACGTGCTTTTCTTCAAAGAATTCAGGCTTGTTTGATCTCTGATTAAACTTTTTTTATTGCTTTGAACATAAGTTACAAACACAAAAACAGTAGCTGCAGATCTTGTTTCTCTGAACTCTGCATATTTTTAAAAGATTTATTTTCTTTGTTTTTGCTACATTTCTCCATTTGTATTTCCCGCTGTAGAAAGATGTAAACACGCCTATTGTTTTGGATACAGTCCAGCTGCCTGTCTGGGTCCCACTTTCTTCCCCCCAGCGTTCTGTCCTCCCCCTTTTTGGCTGCTGTACTTGGTTTCCTACAGGCTGTTGGATTCATGGCCTCTGGCATCTACGTTTTCAGAAGCAAGAGGCCAGCTCTGCCTGGATCCAGTGTCAGAAAGTCTGCCCAGTTATTGGTGCTGGGACCAAGTCTAGCAGCTAATAAACATTCAGGCGACACAATATTCCGTCTTGTTTCGTTTATCTTTGGCATTATAGCATGATCACACAATTCATATTTGGGCAAAAGTGTGATATCTGCCCAACTCTACTCTCCCATCTCTGCTGATTCATTGACTTATTAGCTGCATCCTCAGCCAATCAGAGTGTTCGTTCCATTCCATAATCACTACCTGATTTGGTGAACTAGTTTTTTCCTCCAATTTTTCCTTAAAATGAAAGCCTTAAAATGTGGCGTACAGTGCAATGTGATTTGTGTGGCAACTGCTGCCCCTGCGACCCGGTAACGGATAAACGGATGAAAATGCATGGGTCGATGGAAATCTGATTTAATATTCATATTAAGTGACTTTTTTTGCTCTGTTTTATTCAATATAATATAACATGGAAGTACAAATCTGTTTATGTGGTAAATATATATATAAAAAATACAGCATTCGCACACAAGTTCCCTTTTAATAGTTTGAAGTGTCATTAAGGACGACACACTACGGCAGACACACTGAGAAAGTATATTTCCTGTCCGTAGTAGGACGTTCTTACACCTTCTGCCACTGCTGGCTGGAGACAGAGCCGATCTGAAGCCCGGCAAAGAACACCTGGTAACGGTCTTTCCACATGACAAAGGCTGCAGCGGCGCAGACGAGCGCCTGGACCAGATTCAATATAATCTGGAGGAGGAAGTAGAATGTAAGAGTCTCGGTGATCGTCTTGCAGTCATCGACTCCCTCGTAGGTGAAAGTGCGAGCTATTGGGTCGTCCGTATCCAGAGTGCACGTGCAGTCCGCATTTGTCTGCTCGCAGGTGAAGCTGCTGGTCTGTGCGTGGTGGTATCCACAGAATGCCACAACCAGCACGGAAATGACCAGGCCGATTACACACAGGACGAAGTACAGCAGCTGTAGAGAGGGAGAAGAAGGGAATCAGGTTGTGCCATCTGACAATCAAAGCTGTGAAGTATTTTTTTTTTTTTAGAATTCGGGGTCTGCAGTCTGATGCAGCTTACGTGCCATAGATCACGTAGCCTGGCTCTTACAAAAATGTTAAGAGGGAGCCAGGCCTATTGATGTTCTGTGGTCAGATGTCTCTACAGAGCTGTAATTAGCTATGAAGGACAGAGGTCAGACTTAGTAGCGTAGTAGTGAATAACTAACTTTTTTTCAGCCGTCAGTTGAAAAAGCCAAATAATTTTCAAAAGTCAAAATAAGTCATCAAGTTCTGAAATAGCGTCCTGCAGGTTTAGTTTCATCACCGAGGCACGTTCTAAATGCTGCAGGGTCCGGTGCTTGATCTTCAACATGTATACTGAGTTGACCTGGATGCACCAAAATGGTAAATTTGGAATTCTGTTTTGTAAAGCACCGGTCACCAACCACTGAGCCAGTCTCCGGACCGGTGGTTTTAAAAAAACATCACTTCCATCTACTCTTCTTTTGAACACATGACTCTTTCAAGCCCACAAACTATTTTATCAAAACAATAATTTTTTAAATGTCACGAATCAGTGGTTAGTGTGGAGTCATCTGCATACGGTGAAATATTATGATGGCCTGGGGGAAATCCTAGAAATTTCGCGAGACGACCCAAAAAAAAAAACTCTGGCGACCTACCTGTGGGTCGCGACCCACTCTTTGGGAAACAATGTATTAGAGTACTGATCAATGCATGTAGCTGTATGGCACAAAATGATTCAATTTTAAATTGCTCATGACCTACCAACACTCTGACTTTTGCCCCTTGACCTTTGTTCACAGGACAGATGTATCATTTACCAGTCACAGCCAGACTGGCAGCTAAATCGAGTTTTTATCACAACGGTGTCTTGAAATAAAGTTGTAAAAGTGACACGGGGCGTTGTGTTGTTTATGTGATTGCACAATCGCTACAACACAAACCTCCGTCTAAATTCATCACTTATATAACAGGAGCCTTCACTCTCTCTGCCGTATTTGTCACTCTGCACCGCTTACACAATTACATAAGTGACGAGCTGTTGCTTGATTCGCAATGGAATTGGTGTTTATTTGCCAACGGCTGTGCATAATCGCTTATGGAGAAATGTGAGCACAGAGTGTACTTTACTTTGGCTTTATGTGCTCCACCAAATGGATACACCGTACGGCAGCAAGGCGTCGGGAAAGTAGCGGCAGTCAACGTTTACATTGTGTTTTATAACCTTTGTGATGTCTTCAAACACGTCCAGTGAGCACTTCTAAAATCATTGATCTCTTTAACAAACACACACCTATATAAATATATGGTATGTTTAACTAACAAAGTTGTCTGGACAAGCAGATGAAGTCTAAACAGGAATAAAACATTTAGAATCCTCATGTATTCACATATCAGATCTGACTTTATCTTGTCGCAGGACCAGACAACACTGTCGCCTGGGCTGATTATAGCACGTCTGAGATTCAGTCTGCTGCTACCAAATAAACTGACCAAAACAGCACTGTGTTTCCCTGAACAGAAAAAAACACCAAACCAACATGTGAACCAGACATGTTTTAAATACTTAGCAATACATTCAAATTAATTGTTGTAAGGAAGGTACTGAGAGAAATTCAGTTAGATGGCTGGATGAATGGATGGATGGATGGATGGATGGATGGATGAATGTATTGAGAGGTGGATGATTGATTGATAGATGGACAGATGATTAAGTTTTTGTGTTAGCTGTGTGAAAGATGAACCCCAGTTTTAGCATTCATTTAAAAGTTGTAAAATATGTTAAGTTTTCAGTTTTGTAAAATGATATTATTTGTATGCATCAATGAAAAGTAATAGACTGACTTAATCCATAGTGTTGGATTACCAAAATGCTGAGTAAAATCCTTGTTCAATGGAAAGCACTAAGAAAATGGCAGTTACTTGAAAGCTAATCTTTTTGCTTCGTTAAACAGGATTACAATTTAACAACTAATCTACAAAACAGGACAAAACAATGCCCTAACATAGTTAACATTTATTTATTTTTGAAAATGGTATAGTTTAATGTTAATTAAAGAGGTAGTGGTTTATGGTAATTAAGGCAGCAGTGCAAACTGGATCCTTCTGGTTCTAATTCAGTGGACCAGGCTTTAGAAACGTGTAAAACCTGACATTTGAACCTGGTGGGAGAGGAAACATTCGCTGCCTCAAGAATCTGTTGCTGGACCACAAACAATGGCCGACTGGTTTGAATGTTTTGATATTCCCCATGCATATGTCTTGCAGCCAATTAAAGTGTACAGAGCAGTAGCACTAATTAATGCACCGTGCCTTCCATCTACACACTTCTTGTTGGTACAGTATTTCAGTGTACTTCTGCAGTCTCTGACCATGCTCAGGTTTAAACTGTTTGGTTTCAAGTGTCTGGATTAACCTTATTCTAGGGCTGTACGATAATATCGGCCGATCAGTATTATCGGCTAATATTAGCATAATTATGTAATAGCTCTAAGAATCGTTATGGTTTTTTTCTCCGATAATGTAAACCTGATAACTCAATGCCTGGGTTTCACCAACTGATGGGTACCATAAAAATAGTGTTGGGGATAAACGGCTGTTTATTAAAGTAAAAGTCACTAGATGGCAGCATTGCAGCTCATTTTGTTAATCTATTTTAATAATCAGGGGATTTTATGCAGAATGCTGGTGCCAGCAACTCGTTCAGTGGTTTGTACAGATAGACAAATATAGACAAACATTACCAGGCCTAAATTGGTATTGGTTGATATCAGAATCGTAAATTAAGTGTTTGGAAAATATTGGCATATTGGACATCGTGGAAAAAATTCATTAAGTGTTTGGAAAATATGGGCATATTGGACATCGTGGAAAAAATTAATATCAGACATCCCTACTTTAGTCATGTGGCGACACTTTTCACTTTCCTGAAAATGCTGGGGTGTGTGTGATGTGTGTGAGGACTCACCTTGACGATGAACTGCAGAGTTGTCCTCTCATCAGGCATGTAGGTGACACAGTAGAGGATGAAGCCCAGGATGGAAACTAAACAGAGCTGCAGTAACACACCAGAATATATTTGCTGCCATTACTTTACATAGACTTGTATTGCTAACGTATTGCCTATTATATCAAATGCTTATTGTGGCTGTCTGTCTGTTTCCCCACAAAACCCAGCCGTTCTCTGATGTCATGCCATGCAGTGGCCACGTCACCTTGTTGCTGTAAACGTGAGACTCAGGACTGATATCAGTCACAGTCTGTCAACAGGAGCGCTGTCCAGAAAACTCTGTCGCTAGTCAGGTTTTTGGGTTTTCATTGCATGAATCAGCACTAAGCTGTTGTCTGATTACATTACCCTCTCTCATGCACAAACACACTCACGCTTTGTCTCTTCAGTGCAATTGGAGTCTTGTGACTAACATTCAGCATCTTATTTAACTGCCTTTCCCAGGTTCTTCAGGGTTCTCTGGAAAGTTCTCGATGACCTCAGTGTTTTTCACTTGGCTGAATCTTGTGAGCTTCTGTCTCGGGATGTCAGTGATCAGGGTTGTTTTCGAGAAAACGCTGCATTAGAGATGGGCTGTAAGCACTTTCTCTTCCAGTCACTTAAATGTGCCATGTGGTAAAATACTGAATAAATATACTCTTTTACTCTTTATCATAACAGATGAAACTTTTGATTTTCATTCACCTTAAATCTAAATGCAGTGATCCCTCTCCTATCGCGGTAGTTGCGTTCCAAGACCAACCACGAAATGGGAATAATAGTAGAGGCGAGATTGTTATTACATTATTTACGTATATATTTAGCCTTTACGAACCTCCCCCACACTGTTATCAACTCTCCCTAGACTGTGTTACTCTTTTCAACACAATTATATATACAGTAGATTTGTAGAATGGCGACGCAGAGCGAAGTGAACGAGAGCGCGGCCAACAGACAAGGGGAGTAGCTGAGAGATGCTATGATGCATGAGCCAATCAGAGTGAGGAACAGAAGAGCATGCTCAATTAGCCAACAGTATGCTGTGTACGATCTCGTCTAGGTAAACAAAGCTACCACCAACTGTTCGCAAATGGGCTAATCTTGATTTTAAAACAAGAATCCACATTTTTAGAGCCAAAACATTTGTATGTATAATTATTTTATAATATCTTCGCAATACAGATTTCGCAAGATCGAATAAAAACAAATCTGCAATGTACTGAGGGAGTGAAAGGACAACCGGGTGATAGAGAGGGAATGTTGTATATTCCCAGTCTCATTATCGTGAAATTAAAGCTCAAGCGTGTGTTAGTGTTAGGTCTGTTGGTTTGTTGAAGCTGTCGAGCTTCAAATTTAACAGCAAGTCCCTGCGAGGGTTCAGCCGACATTCAATCTTTTAAATGAAACCATAGACTTCAGCTGTAGTGGTACTGATCCGAAGGAATTCCAGTCCCAACACCTCTGTGGAGACTTCTTGCTTCATTTCTTCATTTTTACAAACATGATACTTGAATTCATTTGATTGAATTCATTTTCCATTGTGGTAAATTAGAGTTAAACATTAATATTAAACACTCACAGAGTGCCCTAACTACTAATGAAGTTGATCTTAATCACCTTAATTCAACTCATTATTTGAGGTAGGAAATAACTCACTAAGATGTATTAATATTTGAATAGGCACGAGGCAAGATTTTCTTTTTTTTTCCTACGTTCTGTTCCGTTCTATTATTTTTATTTAAACTGCATAAAAACAAACCCACATTCCTAGTGAACCACCAAGGTGTTTACATCGACCATGTTTGTGGCTGGGTTGGTTCACACGCCCAGATGTTGGGAACGTCCTGGACATGCAACAAGGACGACAGAAGAACAACACTCGTGTGACTGAGACAGATTGTTTCAGGTGTTGACGGTTAAAAAAATAAAAATAACCAAGTGGCTCCCCCCTCAGGCTTTGACATGCAGTATGGTGAGGAAGAACAATGCATCCAGTCAAAAAGCTTGGTTATTGCAACACAACAAACCAGATACGCGGGTCGCATGCAAGCATGTGAATGCAGCTCGGAGCTTACAATGATCCCAGCCCAGTGTGGTGTCTCCCTGGTCAATAGTGAGGGGCTGATGGCCAACATAAGGAAGGCCACGACGGTGACTGCCACTCCCAACAGCAGCTGTAGCAGGGCGATGAACAGCGGAAAACAACAACCCCTGCACTTTTTGCGATCTCCCCCATCTGGACTTTCATCTCTCCTCTTCCTGCCCTCCTTCTTGTCTGTCGAACCTTTCTGGCCCATTTCTTCTCCTGTTTTCACACTCTCCTCCTCGCCGTTTTCTCAACTTGTGCAATATGTGCAGCGGATGAGCCTGCCTGCCTGTTTTCCGCCGTCCCTGCTGAGGCCTCCTGTTACCAGAAGTCCAGCATGGTTGCTATTTGGAAACAGAGAAGGCGGTGAACTAATATGGAAAGCATTTGGATTGGATTTCTAAAGCTGCCCTAGTGCCCATTATAGAGCAGGGCAGCAAACAGTGGAGGAAAGGAAAGAGAAAGGAAGCATGGGCGGGGGGGGGGGGCAGGAAGGGGTATTCCAACCCACGGCACTCTGAGGGCTTCACTTGTAGCTACAGTACACATAAGAACAAAGAAGTACAAAAGTCAATCAGCAGGTATGTCGATAAAAGGCTAGTGCAGAGGAGGTCATACTTCACTGAAGAGCAATACGCAATACGCCACAATCACCACATGACTTTCCGGCATGAATGTGTTAATCTGACATGTGAGAGCACAGCAGGCTGTGACGTCTGGGTGTTCTTGATATCACAAGCAATGTGTAATTGAACAAAGTTCTCTTTAATCATTCCTAAAAAGCTTACAGAGCCACAAATGGATGTCTTGTAATCCACTGATGAGCACTCTCTATACAGTTAACTCATATCCTATTCTATTAGTTTGCATAAAGCAACAATTTCTTCAACAATATTTGACCATGACATCAAATGTTAGTTATAGGTGCACTAGTACCACAAAACATTCTTATGTGTTTTTGACATATACTTAATGCACCTAATCCTCCATCTTGGTCCGCTTATCCAAGTTACCACCGTACCAGGCCCCCGTGAACCTTCCTGCAGGTGGTGAGTCCACTGGAAGGCGCCAACCGCCTGTCCGCTTCACTTCAAAAATATAACAAATGGGAGAATTATGATGAATGTGTGAGGTATTACATGAGATTGATCTTTTTTTTTGGGGGGGGGGGGTATCTTTTAATTTTCCTGAGATAAAAGTGATTATGAGTCTTAACAGACCAAATCCTTTCACACACGATCATTTACATTATCGTATTGGACAGACATGTGTGACAGCAGCATTTATGCTCAGATGAATAAAGACCTGGAGAGCACGTGTCTGTGCGCACACCCATCGCCATGGCTACAGACAACGCAGCTGTGAAGAGCAGAAACTTCCCCTGCTCCAGGCGATGGTTGAGAGTGACAGGCCTGAGAACAGACCATGTTTGCACTCGGAGGTGGACACAGTCAGATCACTCTTTAGAAGGAAAGAGAGCTATACAGTACAACACTGTAAAAACAAAATACACATGAAATACACAGGATGTATAGCAGGACATATACTATGAGTACACAGAAGAGCTCATGAAATGGAAAAAGGTATCTTCACAGTAGGTATTGAAATAGGTAGGTAAAAAGTATTGCGTATGTGACGTGGTTGCAGTATTCTGTAAGTGTTGTTTCACCAGAGAGAGATCTGTATATTCACAATGAAAGGTAAGTGTGAGCTGAAGGGACAGTGAGGGAGACGTGGTTAAAGGGTGAGCAGGTAGCAGTCAATCAGGTGTGGTGACATGAGAGTACAGTCAAAAGAAAAAGAAGACAATACTTAAAGAAAAAGATATTTCCTCAAAAAAAAAACCAACATTATCTGCATGATCAGTATGAACAATACTGATGAATACTAGGATGACCTCAGTCCAATTACCAGGACAAGCATTGGCCTTGGTTTTTATTTGTATTTTATGGTCTACATTTTTTGTACTTTTTTCACTTGGTACTGTGAAGTATTGATTTAAAAACAAAACTGAATTTTAACTTTTCTGTGTGGATGTCTGATATCGGCAGACCGATATTATCAGCCTGATTATTGTAATCGAATCGTTATTGGTTTTTCCTCCGATAATGAAAACCCGATAACGCAATGCCTGGGTTTCACCAAATGATGTGTGCCCTAAAAATAGTTTTGGGGATTAACAGCTGTGTATTAACGTGAAAGTCACTAGAGGGCAGCATTGCAGCTCGTGTAATTAATCTCATATTCTACAGTGGTTTGTACAGATAAATAAATAAATATTACTAGGCCCATATCGGTATCGGTTAATATCTGAATTGGAAATTAAGTGTTTGGACAATATCAGCATATGGGCAAAAAGTTAATATCGGACATCCTTACTTTTGTGTTTTAGTGACACTGACAGCTCCATGTAAGGTCCAAAACCTTACATACCAGACTTTGAATAACTAAAAAGCACTTCGTCATGATCTAAGGTGATAAGGTGATTCTGGCCGCTTATATTGGTAATAATAGTGAAAATTATTATATAGAAACAAACAACCACTGTTCTTAATGTAAGGCTAGAAACAACACCGCTTAGCAACTGCGTAGCTCGTTATTATTGTTGTTGTTATTGTAGTAAAAACAAAAAGCAGCTTCTCCTCTTTGAGCCCCCTCCCCTGCCCCCTCCTCGATGTCTCTGCGGGCCCCTGGCAGAAAAGTTTCAGACAGATCATGTGCTGTCAAACGCAGGAACATATGCTTCACTGTTTGCAGTCTGCCTCCTCACGCCCGTGCACTCCTTCTTCCCCACTAAGGCGCAGATCACGTTTCAGCAGCCAGGTCACTGTGATTTGAAGCAGTCGCTATAGCAGCCGCGCTGCCTGTGTAACACCGAGCGGCTCTAATTACCGGACTTTGAGCTGGTGCAGCCTACACGTGAGTCGGAAGCTTGTTCAACCAGCGGCGGCGCGCCTGCGCTCTCACCACAGCACAGACGGCTTTGGCAAAGTGGCTGCTCACACATATCAGTCTGAGACGCTGCTCCACAGGAGCACACCTCGTCTAACATCATCTCCCACCTTCGGCCGCCCGCGTCTGGTCCTAGAATAACAAACAGTTGTCAGGAGCCGCAGAGCAGCGATGGATGAACGGATACCGCATTTGCAGGACAGGCACTTCATGGATCACGCAGATTTCCTGGGGTGAGTGTCGCTTTTAGCAAAACTGCCTAACTGCCTAATAAAGTGATTGAGACTGTTTGCTGAATAATCGGACGCCCCCTTTTGACATTTAGGGTGGATTATCCCACTGTCTACATGTCTAAATCCAAAAGAGGAATAAAACGAGAGGATGACGGCAAGGTGAGACAAAATAAACAATATTCTTGAACTTTAATATTATTATTATTGCGACAAACTGTAACGTGTTTGCTCCGACAGGACGCCTATAAGTTACCACACCGGTTGATAGAGAAGAAAAGGAGAGACAGGATCAACGAATGTATCGGGCAGTTGAAGGATTTGTTACCGGAGCATCTGAAGCTTTCGGTGAGCTCACGGCAGCTTTGAAAAAAAAAGTTGTTTTAGCGCTCAGCAGTTCCTGCTTTGCTTAATAATTGTTTATTGTTGTTCCCTGCCACATACAGACACTGGGACATTTGGAGAAGGCAGTTGTCCTGGAGTTAACGCTGAAACACCTGAACGCACTGACGGCTGTCACCGAGCAGCAGCACCAGAAGATTATTGCTCTGCAGAACGGTACGCTTTTACGCACACGTTATGTAAGAAATAGATGATTAAACTCTACCAGCGGATTATCGGGGACTTTATCCTCTTCAGGTCTATTGGTTGCTGCAGTTACTGTGTGTTTTGAAAGACACGTTGGTCCCATTAGATATTATGTTTGGATTACGTTTGTTGTTGTTGTTGTTATTTTTTAGTTTTTGTTTTTCTTAGTTTGTTTACTTTATTCATGCATCCAGACATACAAACATCCCATTAACTTGTGGACAGCCTCGCTCCCTTGAATTCGTAATCTGATCCTCCCTGAACGCGTGTTTTGTAGGGGATCGGTCCATGAAGTCAGCCATTCACGCAGACCTGGACGCGTTCCACTCTGGATTCCAGGCCTGTGCCAAAGAGGTCCTGCAGTACCTGAGTCAGTTCGAGAACTGGACGACACGGGAGCAGCGGTGCACGCAGCTTATCAACCACCTTCACAAGGTGCTGGCGCGGTTCCACCCCGGCGCGCCGCCTCCGCCGGTCCAGCACCAGTTGCTAGCCGGAGACGCGCAGAACGCACCGAAAGCTGACAGCCAGACCAACTGTGTTCCGGTCATTCAGAGGACCCAGGGCGGAGAGTTTAACGAGAACGACACAGACACAGACAGCGGGTATGGCGGCGAGGCGGAGAAGAGCGATGGCAAAGATAAGAATACTTGTGAGCGCAACGAGACGCAGAAGGGACCAAAGGCGGTGAAGATCAAGCAGGAGTTTGGAGATGAACGAGCCGCCAAAAGAACAAAGATAAACTGGCCCGGTGCAGGGTCAGGGAGCGGTGACCCCAGCCGGTCCGACCTGGCATTAATTAACTCTCTGATGGGAATAAGCGGTGTGGGACAGCAGACACCCATATGCATGCCTTTCTACTTCATCAACCCCTCGGCGGCAGCTCCTTACATGCCCCTGTTTGATAAAAGTAACGTGGAAAAGTACGTGTACCCGGCGGCGGCGGCGGCTGCTGCTCTCACGTCCCCTTTCCCGTGGCTGTATCCGGTACAAGCGTCTGCAGCGGCCGGCGTGGCCCCGGGCGCGGGCCCCCGGGTGTGCTCC